GGACGATTTATCAACAATCTGCGTTATGCGGATGACACAACCCTGCTTGTTGAAACTGAGGAGGACCTGAAAACTCCTATAGTCTTGCCAATTAGAGTATCTATCATCCACTAGCCTCTTGTAATAAGGCACAGGCCTTCAACTGTGATACAATGGTATGTTGTTCTTGTTATGTGTTGAAGAGTCGTCTGCCTTACGTACAATAGCTCTAAACCCTGCTTTGTCTTGAGCCAACTTCATTGTCTCTGACATACCTACCCTCGTTACCTAGTCACTAAATTTATTAATCTCATCCAGAGTCTTCCTCTTTTGCACTGTCCCTACACCCTTGCAAGCATAATGGCACTCTCCAAGGACTGATCCCTCCTGGAAACATGCCCAAAGTAAGTCAGATGGTGCTTCAGAATCCTTGCCTTCAAGGAGTAGACTGGTTTTATCCTCTTCAGGATACACCTGTTTGTTTTCTTACACGTCCAAGGCATGATCATTAGTCTTCTTCAGCACCACAATTCAAAGGCATCAATTCTTTTGTCAACCTTAGTCATTGTCCAGCTTTCTGATGAAGACCATGGCCTGGATCAGATGCACCTTTTTCTCCAGAGTGATACCATTGCTCTTCAGTACTCTGGAGAGATCCCTGAGAGCAGATTTTCCCAATGCAATTCTTTTAATTTCCTGGCTGCTGGTACCAAGAGTGTTGATTGCTGTGGAGCCAAGCAAACTAAAGCTGTTAACAGTCTCAATCTCATTACCATCTATCATGATGCTGTCAATCTGCCCAGTGGTGAGAATCTTTGTTTTCTTGATGTTGAGCTTCAATTCATATTGAAGGCTGCAGTCCTTCACCTTCTACTGCAAATGTTTCAGGTCCTCCTTAGCTTTGGTAAGCAAAGTTGTGTCATTTGCATAATGCAGGTTGTTGATGAGTCTTCCTCCAATACTGATGTCACATTCCTCCTCATAGAGCCCAGCCTTCCAAATGCTCCATTCCATACATAGATTGAAAAGGTATGGAGAGAGGATGCATTCCTGACATACACCTTTCCTAAATTTGAACATGCAGTGTTTCCTTGTTCTGTTTGGACTACTGCCTCCTGATCCAGGTATAGGTTTAGCATAAACACAATCAATTATTCTGGGATGTAGTTATTTTCAAGTCTATCTTTTATCAGTCTCCTCTGTCACCTCTGTTATTGTTGCTACTGCTGGTCTTGGTCTTGTGCAGGAATCTCTAGGTAAAAGGACATATTGCACTCTCTCCTTTTTTGATGTTAGCCAGATTATTTTTTTTTTCTCTGCCTCTAGACATGCTCAATTTAAGCCTTATGAG